TACATTATATTCTTGCTAGAATAATATACTTTGTTATATTTTATTATTGAGTGTCTCTTTTATAACGAAGTGTTGTATTTTTCAAAAAAAAAAATTTCTCTTTTTTCCCTTTTCAATCTTTTCCTAACATTTCCCTCTCTTGAATTTATTGTACGGAGTTGGTGATTCTCTATATTCATAATATTTATTCATATACCATGTCATTTGTACAAGTATTTTAAGTCATTTTTCTTAACCTATACCAATTCAATGTTTAAAACTTTTAATTAATAGCTCCTATACATAAGTATACAAAACTCAAATTTATTTAGTATTGGTAACAAGTTTTTATGATTAAAAAAAATTGTGGTAATGCACAATATAGATAAAGATGGCTTTGGATATGGGGTCTTATAATGAAATGGTACTATAATCATTGTGTTTTATTACTTATGTATATGTTGTTGAAATTTGTTTTTGTATTTATTTTTTGGAAAAATTAGAAAATAATACCACAAATTTCTTAAATTTGGATTATAACACCACAATATTTAAAACTTTTATTATAACAGCACAAAAAAACCAAAAAAATCGATTTCACCACCTCTTAACAGAAATCATCCTAAAAATTGTTAGTGAGCCCCACAACGGACACGTGTCACTATTCGACTGGATTAAGAAAATGGAAAAATAAAAAAAAAGAAAGAAAAAGAAAAAACTCAAAATCCTAACCCAGCCACCACCCTCACCTCCGGCAGCCATACAACCCATCGCCGGCAAGCCCACCCAGCCACCACCCTCACAGAAACCTCCTCCTTCACCTTTGAAACCACCACCTAACCCCTGTTAAACCCAATCGCCCACCAACCCTACCCTCCACAAGTCCACAGCTTCGGAAATTGAAACCCTAGCTCCGACCATAACCATAAAAAGGGTCCAGAGAGAGGGAACAAGAAGAGCGAGGGTGCGTTATTGGTTTTCGCGATTGGAAACTAGAGAGGTAACGAGAAGATGGTGGGAGCTAGGGTAGCGATTGATGGTTTTCGTGGGATTCGCGGTGGGGCAGTGGTGGTTTCGGCTGGTGGGTGAAGGGGTATGTCGGAGGTTAGGTGGTGGTTTCGAGGCTGTACTAGGTACGACTGGTGGGTAATGGGGTTTAAGTGGTGGGTTCGGCTGGGCTATGGGGGTTAGGCGGTCATCCCGGCGGCTGGGGTTGGGTTGCTAGCAGTGACGTCAAGGCGGCTGGTGGTTGGGTTAGTGTTTAGGGTTTTTTTTCTTTCTTTTTTTTTTTTTTAATTTTAATTTTTAATTTAATTTTCTTTTTTCTTAAACCAATGTCTTATTGACACATGTACATAGTGGGTCCCACTAACGGATTTAATCCAAAAATCAGTTAGTTGGTGGTGAAATCCAATTTTTGGGATTTTTTGTGGTGTTATAAACAAAGTTATAGATTTTGTGATGTTGTAATCCATTTTTTGTGAAATTTGTGGTCTTATTTTCTAATTTTTCCTTATTTGTGTGTGTGTGTGTTTTTTTTTTATTTTTATTTTTATTTTTTTTTGTCTTGAATTTTTAATAGTTATTAAATCAAACAACCCTACTATAATAAACATCAATACTAATATTTTAAAAAGGAAGTTGGAAGGATACTTGTCCTCTTCCTGTTCTTCCTATTTTAAAATTTTGTTTTTATTTTTTGTTAATTAAAATAAATTTAATTACAAAAAAAAAAACATCACATATCTCTTTCATCCCTATCCCCTATTCATGTCTATTCAAGAAAATAATTTTTCCCAAAAAAATTAAAAACAGAATTCAATCAAACTTCTCTTCCTTCTGAATAAATTTTCAATTCCCTCAAAAATAAAATGATCATATTTCATTTGTGTCATTTGGTTATTTAATATCTCATTATAATGTTCTTTGGTAAAAAAAATAAAAAAAAAGTAGTTTATCTTCCCATCTCTCACCATTCTTCTGTTTTCTTCATCCTTCTCTCTATTGTTCCTTTCTTTTACCCTTAATTTTTAAAATTGATGTCACGATTATATAAATAACTTCAAGAAAAAAATAGTGGTCTTGAATTCAATGGAGCATGTAAATTTTCTCAACTTTGTTTACAATTCAATTTATATTTTTTTCAAATCTGTTTCGAAATTTGTTTTTGAGTTTTTAATTTGGTGGATTTAGATTTAATCTTGATTTAAATGTATTGTCCTTTATACTTTCGTCTGAATTTCATTAAGATATGTATATTTTTTTTTCAATGTTTATACAATTTTAAAAAACAATTTTCACATAATATTTAAATTTCTAAAATTTTGTTTTTGTAATGTTCTTTTTCCCGAATTTATTCCAAAATAATTGTAGATTTATGTTTTTGTTGAACTTAAATAATTTTTTTTAAAAATTGTGGTTTAGAATTTTGACTGGATTTTATTTTTAAAAGATATGTATAGTTTTTACTTTATATTATCTTTTTCGATGTTTAACTATCAGATTTTTTTTAATTTTTTAATTTTTAAATAACCCTATCTGTTTTAATTTACTTTTGGTATGGGTTTTTTTTCCTTCAATATTTTTTTTCAGATCTTTTCTGAATTTCGTTTCAATTATGGATTTGATTTAATTTTTTTGGGATTTTGTGTTTAATCATTTCTAACAAATATGTTTGCTTTTTAATTTTTATCTTCAATTCAGTTTTGTATTTCCGTTTCATTTTTTCAAATCTTGGTATATATTTTGTTATTTATTTGTATACATTTAGTTTCTTTTTGGACATTATTTTTAGAGTTTTTTCAATATTGTTTTTGATAAATTTTCAATTAGATCCACAAAACTAATTTTTGGGATTTAGATTATTAACGGTTATGAGAATTTTGATTGGTTTTTATATAAATTTTGTTTATATGAATTGAGTTTAAATATTTATAGAAATATTTGGCATTTTAATGGATTTAGAGTGTTTTTATAGTATCTCTATGAAAATAAATTGTATTTCTAATTATAATTTCACTTGCATGATTGCAGAAAGAATGAGAAATCAAGTTGAAGCAAATTTGGATGACAAAAACATGAAGTACCACTCCTTCCGTATAGCAATTGAAAAAAAAACAATTTACTATTTCATTTGGAGTGGACATATATACTCCATAAACAGAAAAATTACACATCCCCTATCCTTAATATCCCTCTGTTTCTTGCTTTTAATATAGAAGGACAACAAATTAAGCCGATTACCCAAGAGACTACGAATTCGATTGTTGTTCGAACGTAGTAGGAAGACAAAATATTTTACCTCAATTATGCATTAGTGATTTGAGATTTTTACTTAATGTTATTATGCAAGGATGGTGTATTGCACTTTGTGAATTTTGGTTTAATTTTACTTACCAAAAAACATGTTTTCTTCTTAATTGTTTAAACTTTGGTACCATTAGCCATTAGGTAAATCGTTATTATTGTCTTTTTTATCCTAATGAATTCACAATTGTTGCAGGTTAACAACACACCATGGTCAAGATTTTGCGCTACATCCTTTTTGTCATATTGTAATGTGTTTTTGATACATGAATTTCAAGTTTTTGCTTTCAATGTCAAATCGTAATGCTAATTTTCATTTCGTGCCTATCAAACATTGGGTGTCACATGTACAAGTACAAATTTAAAACAAATATTCTTCACATTTTTCTTTTCGAATTGTTGCAAAAAAAAAAGTACTACTCCGTAGCAAATAATTATAAAGTCGCAACTTGTCTCTTGCACACAAAGTAAGTGTTCCCAAAATTACACATCGTGTTTTATCGACTTGACTCAAGCAAAGTTTTAAAAGTACTCCAATCCCTCATCAAGTGATGACACACTAGCTTTCATGTAGAATTTGAAATATTTAGAATTCTATTTACATTTATTCACCATAGAAAAGCAATGGCTAATAGAATCGAATAATTATAATCAATTAAGGATTATAAAGTGTTGGAACCTAATTAACTTGAATTGCAAAAAAAAAAAAAAAAAAAAAAAAAAATCTCATTCGTCAAAAGATAATATTTAGATAAAATTGATAATATCAAAAGATAATATTTTATATTAATTAATTTAGACTTAAAAATCTCATTCATCAATTTTGCTTACGTGGCATTTTTTACTATTTAATTCTAAGAGAAATTAATAATCTCTTATTTAATTGGTTACCACTAAAATTTATAAAGAAAATTAAATCCTCTGTGGCTCTCTAAAATATATATATTTTCTATCGCTCTTATTATATTTTCTTTAAATTTTAATGTATCCTTTATTAAAAGAACTATATCCTCTATTGCCCTTAATATATCCTTCATTATTGAAATAATGATATCTTTTGCTATTCTGAATACATTCTCTATTGTTCTTATTATGTCCTCTATTGAAAAATTGATATCCTATTTTGCCCTGCTAATATGTCCTTTATTGAAATAATGATATCCTCTTCCCTTCAAAAAAAGAATAAGGAAAATTTGTCAGCTAACACCTTTTAAAACAGATTTGTTGTGAAGAACTACCTTATAACTTTTTTTATTAAAACACACCTAAAACCAGATTACTTTTGCAAAAACAATCCTGACGGCGGTTTTAGACCTGTTGACTCGGTTTTACGGCATTGACAATCATGTGGGAGGCACGTGCTCCGATTTAGACCCCCCTCCTTCAAATATTTTACCCTTTCTTTCCCTCCAATTCAATTTTCTCTCTCCTCTTAAAATTTTCCCAATTAAACCTTCTTATCTCTCTTGTTCTTCCACCCAAACCTCCATTGCTCTCCTTTGAAGAAGGTGAACTCCAATTTTGAGCTCCAATTTTTACAAATATACTCAATTGGCATAATTACGAGGCAGGTAAGAAGCTTTAATTAAAGACTAATTCCATTAATTTTGTTGATTTTGCGAATTATCGTTAGTTAGGGCTTAAAATTGGAATTAGGGTTTTTGATTGGGGGTTAATTAAACCCAGCAATGTTTTGTAGGATGGAGGTAGCAGTAATGTCGAGGGGTCGGAAGTGCTTTTGTGGTCTTCTAGTTGCTGTTAGGACCTCATGGACACATAAGAATCTAGGGAGGAGGTTCAAGGCTTACAAATTCTACAAATTTGGGACTAGACACACAGGTTGCAACTACTTTGAATGGGTAGATGAAGAAATCTTGGATTGGCAAAGGGATGTTACTAATGTGCTTATTGCTGAAAAGCACAGACTTGCCACTGATTTGAGATTGGTGCAAGCTAAATTGGAATGTACTGAAAATTTGAAGAGAAGTCTTTCTCAACAACTTGACAACATTGAGAAGAAGAAGTGGAAGCAGAATGAGTTCATAGCAAGACAGCAAAATGAGCAAATTAGTGTAGTTGTTGCTGCTTGTATTGTTGTTTCTGTTGTAGTTAGTGTAGTTGTTGTTAAGTTGATTGGTTAGTAGTGGTGTTCTATAACCACATTATGCAATATTGTAATGGAATTAAAGCCCTTTAAGTTGGCTATGTGTACTAGTTTGACCTTTTAATGGTCTATAAATGAAAAGTTGTTATGCTTGCAAATATCATTAAGTGTTAACCACAACAATTAAGCAACATTTACACAAACAAACTAACATCCATAAATGAAAGGCTGCAATGTCATAAACCATACATAACAGTTTTTGCTAATTAAAGTAGCATATGTTTCAAAAACACACAATATAGCAATTTATAAGTTCCAAAAACAAATACATAAGTAAAGCAAACCCTATTTATGCTCTTCTTTTCTTCTAAGCAGAGGTGACAGCAGTAGTTGAAGCTTGTGAAGAGTTCACAACATCATTTTTTGCAGTTATAGCAGCCAAGGAGGAGGTTTTCTTTGTCTTTCTTGCTGTTGAAGTTGTTGTAGCTGCCTGTCTTGCCTTTGCTGCCCTTGTTGAAACACCAGAACTAGATGGTGCTGCTGCTGTTGAAGTTGTGGCTGCCTTTCTTTTTCCTTTATGAGCTCTAGCAGTGGTAGTGGTGGTAGTTGATGTAGATGGACCTGATGCAGAAGTGCTTGTTGGTACTAATGTTGATGTAGTGGCTGGTGTTGGTGTTGTCAAAGTGGTTACAGGAGGAGCTTCTGATGCAGGAGGTGTTGCTCTAGGTCTTCCACCCTTGCTCTTCTCCTGAGGTGGTTGAGTCACATTTTGGCACTTGGACTTGTAGTGCCCTAGACCACCACAGTTGGAGCACTTGTTCTACTTCTTTGTTCTTTACATCAACTGCCTCTCCTAATCTTCTCCAGGCTCTTTCACCCTCTTTTCTTACTTAGCCTACCAAGCATCTTCCTATAAGGAGGTGGCAGGGGTTTAAGGTAAGGTTGAGTTTCCCATTGTTTGTAGCCTGGCATGGCTTTGAAAATAGGGGCATATGTGGCTGCATATGTGCTTACATGGTAAGCCTGGTGTACAAACTCCTCATACTGCAGCCTACTCTTTGCGACACATGCCAGAGCATGGTAACATAGAATCCCTAATAAACTCTACCTATAACACCCACATACTTTCTGTTGCAGATTCACAACAAAAGTATCACCATCATCATCAACTTCAAATTCAAACAAATCAGCCTGGTTTACTCTCATGTTTGACATATTTTTCATTCCCTTCTCAATCATTTTGACTACAGAAGGCATAATCATTCGTCAAATTTTTTCAAACCCTCTCTTTTAGCACAACATCTTTTCATTACATATCTTCTAATCCACTCCATAAGGGAAATGATGGGTTTGGTTCTAGCTTCTCTCAAAACATTATTAAAGCTCTCACAACAGTTGTTTAAAATCATACCAGACTTATATCTTGTAGTGAAAGCATTTCTTGACCAATTACATGCAGATATTGACTCCAAATACTTGAAAGCTTCAACATTTATTGCCTTAATTGCAGCCATATGTTGGTCAAAATGATGCTGAAATGTGCAGGAAACCATACATAAATCACATATTCACTAAAACCTTTGATATCTTATTACAATGTAAACAAAACACATTAACTAACCTTAGTTGAAGATCTTGCTGCCTTCTAAAAGTGCTCCTTATAAATCTCACTAGGAAACTTAGTTTTGAAGTTAGACAAGATATGTCTACAACAAAACTTGATGTTTGCATTTGGAACAACAGTCTTAAAAGCATCCAAAAGACCCTACATGCATTTCATGAGCAATCAGTTATTCATGTGCTTAAATATGCAAGAAAAGAAGAGAAAAAAAGGGAATATGCAAGCAAACCTTCTGTCTATCAGACATGTAGGTCACATCCTCTTCCCTCTCATGCACCCAAGTTACAGAAGTAGCCACAGAAGCTATGTCCTTGACTAACAACTTAAGGAACCATTTCCAAGTCTCAGTTTCCAAGTCTTAGAATTTTCTGTTTCAACAACAGCCCAAGCATATGGAAATATGTTGTTGTTCCCATCTTTGCCAACTGGAGTTAGCAAAATGCCAGGAAATGGGCCTTTCAGGTGAGCTCCATCCACTCGAAGTATTGGCCTACAACCAGCCATAAAGCCTTCCTTGCATGGTTGTATGCACACATACGTTCTTTGGAAGAGTGGGGGTGGATTTGCAATACCAACCACCTTAATTATTGCTGTGCTCCCTAGGTTATACTTACATATTGCAGCTGCATAGTCCCACACTCTGTTGTACTTATCAGCAGCATCACCAAACAACATTTTCAAAGCCATTTTCTTGGCATAATATGCCTTGTAATACCCAATTTCAGCTTGCACTTCTCTTGTAGCCCTACAAATGAATGAACCTAATTTCATATCAGGATCATCTCTGAAATCTTTTAAATACCTTTCTGCAAGGTATTGTGAGGTCGCCTTGATGTTTTAATGCTGATAACCACATACATGTTCATCTTTGCTACTTTTGATCTGAAATGTTTCCTCACCCTTAAGCTTACTACAATGGACCTTCCACTTGCACTTCCTCTTTCGGTTGCACTTACACTTATACAACCTCCTCCCTTTTTCCCAAGGACAAGCACATCTCTTAGCATAGTAAGCTGAAACCCACAATGTTGTATTATGTAGGAAATAGTAATCATAGCCATTCTCTATGGCATGGTTCCTTAAAGCTTTCCTAAAAACCCAACTAGAAGGGAATTTAAGTCCAAATTTCAGTGTTATCTTCTACTTAAAGTCAACAACTGGGTTAAAGATGGGATAATCTGGTCCTTCATCATATGAACCTACTTTGTTCACATCATCCCCATCACTGTCCTGCAGATCATCATCCTCAAACACTTGACCTGCTTCTAATTCCTCTTCCACAGCCTCATCTTCAACATGACCAACATCATGCACACAAATCTCACTAGAACCTCCTAAACTGTGAATCACTGTTTCTGTAATACCATGATCTACATTCATAGAAAATATGTCATCATCATCCTGATCTTCATAGTCATCTTCACTAAGAATCACATTAGCATCTTCATTGTCAGATCTGATCAGCTCATCATCCCCTTCCCGCTCCTCCCCCTTATCCTCCACAGTCACATATACTTTGTCAAGCTCAACAGTGTTTGGTTTATTCTCAAGGACTAGTTGAGCCTCATTGTTTGGTTCACTTTCAATGTTTGGTTGCACCTCAGTTTCTGATTGTAGCTGAGTTTTGAACTTTGAGAAGGTACGTAGTTTTTGTCTTTTGGGTTTCAAAGAGACTGAGTGATTTTCAATTGAAATAAAGTTGGATAAGGGGCTGGGTTTGGACAGTAAAGTGGGTGGTTAACTACAAATCTAGGGTTTTCAAGGGAATCTTGTTTAGGCCCCACTTTGTTTTTGTTTGACTTAACACTCACTTTTGCTGACTTACCCCTCAATGACTCCCCCACCTATCCTGTTGCCTCCCCCAACCCTGATGACTCACCTAAACCCGATGACTCAGCCATCCTTAGTATTAACTCACCCATCCCTCCAACTGATTCTTCCCTGTCTGAAGATGTACTAAACACCTCAGAATCTGAGTAAAAAGTAACCGCATGTCCATATCTAAGTGTGGCAGGATCTATAGGTTTCTTAGGAAGATGTACTAAGTACAATTCATACCAAACCATCCTTTTCCTTAGCCTCTAAAAATTCTTGAATGTCAGCATCACTCAATATTTGTTTTCTGACAGAATATAAAGTACAACCCTTCTTCTTAAACCAAATCTGCCCAACCTCATCATAACCCAATTCACTTTTAATCCAATTTACAAATTCAAAATAACATACTTCATCTACATTTGGATGCAAAGAAACTCCAAAATAATCAGAATCACCCTTCAAATGTGTTGTTTTGTGATTTTTAGTCAGAAATTCACCACCATACAACATCCTAATGTTAATTGATTCATCCATGAATTTATACAAATACATTGATCCTACCATCAAACCTGATACAATGAAACACATGCACACTAATTTCAGTAGCTATATCCATGTATAAATAAGCCAATTATACTAAGCATACTTAACTAACCAAACAGCACAGACTACAACACAAAGAAAAAAACATTTCTTTATATAATCACTGCCATTAAAAACCCTATTAATTCAGTAAATCAAGGTCATGCATGTCTTCCCCTTTCCCAACATTCCCAACCATTTTCAACAATTAAATAAAACCTAGTTTAATTAAAAAATTCGAAATCAAACCTGGGTTTCTGTATTACAATGTAATTGGTCCACCTTCCACGCGTTCTCTTTGCAGCAAGCTTCCCTTTTTTACCCATGGAAGACACACAGAAAAAAGGACGAAGAAGTTTAGGTAAGTACAAAAGTAGAAATTGAATAACAAATTAGAGGAGAGAGAAATTTTTACACTTACTCTATCACTTGGCCGAAATAAACCCACAAATTGCAGCATTCAATTCGTCCCTGCCATGGCAAAGCTAATTCTCACAGCTTTAATGGTGAGGTGAGGAAGACAGAGAGGAGTAATTGAGAGGAAAGAGAAAGAAATTGAGAGGAGAGAGAAAATTGAATTGGAGGGAAAGATAAGGTAAAAAATTAGAAGGGAAGGGGGGTAAACCGGAGCACTTGCCTCCCACGTGATAGTCAACGCCGTAAAACCGAGTCAACAGGTCTGAAACCGCCCTCAGGTGTGTTTTTGCAAAAGTAATCTGGTTTTAGGTGTGTTCTAACAAAAAATAAATTATAAGGTGGTTCTTCACAACAAATCTGTTTTAAAAGGTGTTATCTGATAAAATTTCCAAAAAATAATGATATCCTCTAACAAACTGTACATATCCTCTATTAAATAATATATATCCTCCAACAAACTACTTAAAAAACCCAGATTTTGTGAGAGACTATCTAATAATTAAACAAAAATGTTGTAAGAAACTACCTAATTAAAGGTAAAATGTTGTCAAATACTACCTATGGTCGAATTTCCACCATTGACCTAATTTTTTGGAGTTGACTTACCTCAAAACACCACCAGAACTATCATCACTTAGCCCAAAACAACCCCCACTAACTCGGAATATCCCTAAACCACCTCAAAAGTACCCTTACCACCTTGAAAACCAACCCTCACGATGGTTTCAAGGGTGTTTAGCGGTGTCAACACTGAAAAGTTTGGTCAAATGAGGAAATCCGTCCATAGGTAGTATTTTACAACATTTTACCTTTTATTAGGTAGTTTCGTACAACATTTTTTTATTAGGTACTTTCTAAAAAAAATTGGCTTTTATTAGATAATTTCTCAAAAAAAATCCAAAATAAAAATAAATTAAAAAAATTAAAAAACTAAACAAAAAAATAATAAATATCCTCTAACAAACTAAATAATAATAATAATAAAAAAAGGTTAATGGGATTGTTGTTTTGAGGCTTGCCTCACCAAAGGCAAGCCTCATACAAAAGCTTCTCTTACTATTATGCTTAACTATTCCCTCCATTTTTTTTACAAGCATCATTATTTCATAGAGCATTTTTTTAGTATGAACTGTTTCATAGAGCATTTTTTACTATGAGCTGAGGTCAAATTGCGTACATAAATTTGTTATATATATTTGATTCTTCGTGAAAAAAAATATATTTATTTCACTTTTTTTTCTCTATTTTGATTTGAAGTGAACTTTTTTTATCTGATTTGGTTGTTTGATTTAACTTAACCTTGAGTCATTGATCTATTATGTACCTAATGTACATGAATATAAGAGGTCTTATTAAATTTGTACTTCTGTTATGAAATATTATGTTGTGCGGATATTCATTATCCTCCTTTATCATTTTGGAATGTTCTAGATCTAGGGTTTATTGTTATCTAAGTAAACCCTAGTTATATTGTATGTATATATATATACCCACTCTATGGAATAATACAGACTGATCAATTCTCTCTCAATTTCTCTCATATTTCTCCTTATTTTATAACACATTATCAGCACTAAAGCTCTACCCGATTAAATCAAGTTATTCTACTCTAAAACCAGTTACCACCAAACAAGTATGTGCGGCTATTCCTTATAATTTATTTAATAATATTTATTATGCTAATGGATTTAATTTGGCATCAGGATTGAATTTTTGATTATCCTATTCACATGTGCACAAATTATTTTTTATTTATATTGCATTGTATCGTATTGGTTAGTTCTTTTTTTGTTACTATGACTTTGATTTAGTATAGAATTTTATAGCATGATCGGCAAATACCATTAATTCTTTTGAGATATCTATTGATCGTAATGGCGTGACGTTGGACTTATTTATCAAGACACTTGCCGCTCATTAAGTCGGTTAATCGATCGATTATGTTATTTTATCACTTTATTGATAAATAATAAGATCAAATTAACTTCCTATGCTAATCTTTATATTTTGTGTTGTAGTTTATGATACTACTAAATTATAATATAATAATTTATTATTATTTTCTCTTTTGGCTATGATACGATAATTATTAACAATACATACCCTATGGAATTCAACCCTATCCGATTAAGCAAAAAAAAAAAAAAAAAAAAAAGAAAAAAAAAGAGGAAAACCCATCATCATCGAGGTAAGTGTTTTGTACTGACTGGATTAATTTGAACGAAATTTATAAAGTATACTTATTAAGATTGGTATATCCGTAATTGACTAATCCATTAGTATACCCAATAGATCAACCTATGTTGGTAGTGACAGTGTTAATAAAGCCCCAAGGGAGGTAATATAAGGCTTGCAAAGTATAAGGTTGAATCTGCTATCAAAACAGAGCTTGTTGTCAGTGTTTTCATTTATTTGTTCTTTGTTAGTTTG